AGGTTTATTCTATTTTCTTAACTTCACTAAGCTTGTTTTAGGAAGAACAAGAGTAATTTAGATAAAAGAAGGGTAAAAAAGTTGTTGGCTTGTCTCCACTTGTATCAGTATTGAACTGTAGTAATACGATCAATTTAAAAATTATAGCATAGCATGCACTAAGTAAAGATATTATAGAGATTAGACATGATGGAGGTGGGATGGGGCTAATGTTTTAGGGTAATTTGTCTACAAGAGTTTACTCTTTCATTTGTTTTAATGTGATGGTTTTTTAACAAGATTTTAATAAATTTCACCGTGACTTATTTTGCATTACTCCCTTTAATCTAAAATGTGGTGCTATATTTTTTTAGACAGCTCTGAATGGTAGATGGGATTAGACAGCTAATGATGCCCAAACTTCAAATTATAACCAAGTTTCTTAGTTTAGAATTAATAACAGATTGTATCAGGGACACTGCAAAAGTAGTAAAGGTCGAAATACAAGTTCTAAATGCTCATTCATACACTTTTAAAGTACTAATACAAAGAATAAAAAATCCCTGTATGCTGCCATTTTCCTGTCCATGGATAGTGACTGCATGCTATGCTGAAGCATTGCAGTTACTAAGAGGTTTATAGTTGTATTTTACCTTGAGTTTAGGAAAAACAATGGTGCTTTGCATGTATTGTACTATTATTACAATGATTTTAAAATGTGTTCCCAGCTTTTTAGGCAACCCATATATTTTTTCTGTTCAGTTGTGTTTTTCTTATTTTGGTTCATTGACTGGGCAAGATGTTTTGGGTTGGGTTTTTTTTAAATATACTGTCAATAAGTTCTTGACAAGAACAATTTAAATCTGAAAACAATTTCTGATTTTTTTTTTTAATTCTATTTAGTAAAAATGTAAGCAATACAGTGGGGTTTTTTTATTAAACTGAGCTGTTTGGATGAGATCTCTGTACATTTGCTTTTTATGCAATCTGAAAGGTGAGCTGGAAAGGATTTCTGAAAACTTGGTTTGTGTTCTTTCAAAATTCTTCTGTATGTACAACACACAACCTTCAAAGTTTGCTTGATTTTACACTAAAAATGACAAGAATGTAAATTCTCTGGTTTCACAGAAAGGTGCCTTGGGAGTGGAAAAAGCTCATGGATTTTCATTGGGAACTCTCCTGTGGTATAATTAATGCTCTTTTTTTTAAACAGTAACAGAACAAGTAAAAATGCTTTGAATTCATCCATATTTACACATTGTGTCCAGAGTGTTCCTGGTCGAACTGAGAAAATAAGACAGTGTAGTCTACATGTACTATACCCTCAATTCCCTCAGATGCTTTCTGACCTCTTTTACAAAAGAACTTACACTAAAGTTTTTGCCATCTATCATCCACCCCCATTCTCGTATTTTAATTTCTCTGGTAGCTCAGAAAATGTTAATTCTAACAGAGTAGCTGCTTTCATACAAATTATCCTGATGAAAGTTTGATCTGACAACATCTCTGGCATAATTTCTCTTTCTAACAGCAGAAATCGACAGCAGCCTTTGCCATGCCTATATCATCCTGGCTTGTTACTTCTGTTTTTTTTTCCAATGATGCCTTGTTTCTTTTTTGCTTAAAAAAACACATCCAAACCCATGAATTTGTGGTAGTTGTGCAGACCAAATCCATGACATTAAAAGATGCTGAACTTTTGTTGTTCTTGGGAACAAAATAATCACTGGAAGGCAAAGATTTAGCAGAGCAAGTGCAAGAGACAGGATACTCCTGCAGTACATCAGTTTGATGCCAAAGCTGATCTGAATTATAACACAAGAACCAAAGTTTCCTAAACAAAATCTCTGGCACTCTAATGGGAAGCTGATCTATACTTTTACTCAAGAGGCCACTAGAGCACTCCCTTTATGTCAGAGGGCTTGTTTCTGTCAGAGGGCTTGTTAATAGCTTGCTGTGAGACAGACGTGCCTTCAGGAACTAAATGGATGTCCAAGAATCCCAACCAGGAGTATGTCCTGAACAGCCAAAGTCTCTTCAGCTCAGTTTACAGCCAGCTGGAGATAGTACTAAATAGTTAGCCAGAATATGACAGTACTGAAGAGGAGACCTTATCCCAGAAGTGTTTGTATTTCATTTTGTAGTGTGACCTAGTAGCATTCAGTCACTGACCACATGAGATTCTTACAGCAGAGAACAGCTATATTTGTCCTTAGACATCTCTATGTTGTTGGGGTGTTGTTTTTTTTCTTGTGTCATTTCTAAGAGAAAGCTAGCATAGAAATCTAAGATCCTTAAAAACACCTTCTGCCCCCCACAAAATTCTCATGCCACAGACCAGCTGCTTTTCCACCTTGGTATTTGAAGCTTCTAGCCTCTGTTGTTTTCTGTGCCTTTGCATCATTATGCAACAGCACGAAAAAATGAAATACATTAAAACGAAGAAACAACTTTTGAGCAGTCACTAGGTGTAATTCTGGATAACACTTAGGTTACTGTCTTGAGTTCCTTAGAATCTGAGGGGTTTTAACAACCTAAAGTTACAGGGGCAATTGTATAACTTTTATAGCTCCAGTAATTTCTTTAAGGAACATATACTTAGAGAGTAAAATTATGCCTCAAATGCATAGGCTGACACACTTTGTCCTGCTGCCTGTTGAGTGCACAGGGTACTAGGAACTTCCTTTCACTAATCACATCTTAAAGGGCAGATTTCTCTGTATTCATCTTGTGTTTTAGAAGGAGGAAACAAATACAGTTTTGTATTTCTTTGGACCTCCAGCCATATTTATTGTGCGCTTTGTCTGTCCTGTTTAAGATTTGTTTGCAATGTTGAGCCAAGGAATTAAAATATTACAATTGAGCAGCTGCACTCATCACCCCTTTAACAATATTAATTTCTTTAATATGTCATACACTTTGTAAATGATTTTAATCTGTTATTTTATTAATTTGCCTTTCCTATGTCCTGCTGTAACCATTATAAATATAATACTTCCCTCCTTTAGTCTTGTAGTGCTGCTGGATAGTAGCATCATCCTCGGCTTACTGACACTTCAAAAGTCTCTCCTTCGTTCATTTAGATAAGTAAAATAAAGCACATACCTATAAAACACAGTAGGATTGTTAGGAAAATTCCAACCTTGTTTTGAAAAACCTGTTTTCTTTTATTCTCAAATATAAGCACTATCGTATCTAAGCCTTTTCTTATCTATCAAGTATCTAGCAAAAAGCTTTTTTAAAGTGGAGAAGCAAAAAGAAAGGTGTTTCACAGAATATTAGCTAGACCCATACTATCATCTGTGCTTACAAGTTCAAGACGTTTTCAGGATCTACCCTAGATGGTTAGAAAACCTTCCCTTTGACCAGCCAGCTCTTGCATCATGGAGGAAAACCCTTTATTTAATGAGTTCCAAGTCCATCTGAGGATATAGGAACAATAAAATGGCATGTCAAGTCTTGTCAGTGGCCCTGGTAGTTCCCCCGCTTTAAAGCCATTGGTGACATTCTATTTTTAAGTCTTATATGGTGCAGCTAACTCTGTGAGCAGAGGCCTTGAAACTCATTTACCAATCACAACTGTGTTAGCTACTGACTGATGGGTATTGAACACATAGTAGTGACCCATTGTCTCTTCACACTAAGGAGAATTCTCACGCCCTGAAAGCTATTTCATACCCCAGTGTTCTGCAGCCATTACAATGAATCAGAGGTGCGATACGGTGTTATTTTTGTGCCGTCAGTCGGTGCTGGACAGCAAAACCTAGAAGCAGTGTTCTGAGAAATGCTACTGTATATACACTCTATATAACGGGAAAATTCAGAAATACTTGTTCAGTTTTTTTCTTGCTTCTGTACAGAATAATGATCTTCTTCCAAAGCTGTTGGAATGCAGAGTCCTGTTTATAACATTAATGAACCAAAATCGGAGTGCTGAGCATGGTTTCCCCCATGCTGCATGGTGGCAATTTTCAAAGCTTGTTTGGAAGGTATTTTTCAATAGGGTACCATCCACTGAAAATAGATGAGCAGCGGAAGGCTCACTCAAGAGCTCCCAAATTCCCATAGATGGATAGGTACCCTTTCCTGAGTCTGCTGCCTGGATAGTGTGAAAATCTCCTTAGGGCAGATGCTCGGAGCGTTGTGTACTGTTAGTGAGAGGGGAAAACAGTGCTCTGTGGAGAGTGTTATCCCTCAGGAAGGGAGTGTAAGTGGCAAGAGGCAAGCAATGTAGTTGTTTTCCAGTTTGTTGTTATAATTTCTATATATCAGTAAGGTAGTTGGTATATGGCAGAGTGCCATCTTAACGCTTGAGTTTTGCTGAGTGTTTTCACTAATTTTTTGTTTTGAGAAGCAATTGCATTTGGATCTAAGAAGTCCGCAAGAATCTCCGCTTCTCGTAAAACCAGAGATACCACAAGCAGTTGCTACTTTCAGTGAATTCTTACAGATGGCTGACTCTTTGAGGGGCAGTACCTGTAGCTGATTTACTGCTCTATAAGAAGCAGTACTTCTTGGCTCCTACTGAGTTCATAACTCAACAGGAGTAACTGCTTGCTTACATAGAGACAAGAGTTCTCTTTTTCCCCGTTGATGCAATACCTCCTCTGTTAGTATGAGTTCAACAAAAGCGGGTGTCTGTGCTTCACATGCAAGGTAGAGGTTCCCAGGGAGTTTGAAACCATTCCTCCAATCTTTTCCCCACATCAAACATTGTAATTCCAGTAATTGCAATTAATTCAAGTACAACAATAACCTAAAAATATCTAGAAAACATATAGGCAGGAATGTTCCAACAGATGCATTTGGGTTATTAAACTTTCTCCCTCAGAAGGAAAACCATAGTTCACAGTTGAGGAACTTCTAAGTTACACAGAAGAAATCTCCCATTAGCATGTCAGTATCCAAAGGGGTATTTATAGCAGTAACTTCTCCGGTAAGCAAGATTTCAGGCTGACCGAAAATCTTCATAACATTAGTTTGCTGTTGTTGCCATTTCTCTAAATGTGCCTTTTTTCCTACTTTAGCAGAGTCATCAATATGTTCAAGACACCTATTTGAAAGGTGGGGAACTACTGGAAGAGTTGCAACTTTTTGAAAATACAAACCTTATACCTTTCCTGTTGCATATCTGGAAAGTAATCAAGGGTATGTATGGCTTCATTTTTTTTTTTTTTTTAAAAGTCTGCTTTAGTTATGAAGTATTGATCATTTTCAGCAGCCTAGACAAATTCACTATCAAAACACCTCACTGAAATATATCTAAGGCTATAGGTGAAGGGGAAGCAGACATGAAGATGACAGTGGAGTTCCAATTAAACTTGAATTACTTCTAGTTTGGACCAAGAATTGTTATGATAATTAAAAATGTAAAAACATCAGAAAGATTAAAGAGTTGCAATATAACTGACTTAACTTGTGTGTGTTACATAAAATCAATTAGTGGCACTTTTTTTGGAGGGAAGAAAAATTAGTTCTGTAACTTGCAGTTATTGTATAAAGGAAAGGAGAGAGTTAGTATTCATTCACTAGTTTAAAGCATGCATTTCTGAGGAGAAAAAAAATGAATTCTTGATGTCTATAAAGGCCAAACAAAATTCCTCTCTTTTATGCGGAATCTCTCAATGGTTCTTTTGGACTTTCAGGATTAACTGTTAAGTGTTCAAATCATAAGGTTAACTGCATTATCCACAGTTTTAAAATATTCTTTGCATTGTAATATTTCTGAAATTTCAGTTCAGTTTTGCTCCAGTTAATACATGACATTCAACAGTACTGTCCCCCTTCCTAACAGACGTATACTGGCAGGCTGTTGTTAGGTTTGTTATGATTAAGATTATTGATTGATTATTAATTAATATTATTGATTTTTTTTACTGTATGAACTTTTAGTTCAAAATAGTATAGAACATGAAAAATTATACCAAAACTAAGAATGTATTGACACCAAAAATTAATTCTAATTGTACTTCAGTGAGTTCATACTACACTTATGGAGGCTGGAAGTATCACTCAAACTATCAGTTGCTACTAGAAGTGAAGTTTCAAGGGTAACTTTTCAGTAACTGTGCAGATAAAAGCAGTAGCTAGCACTAAACATCTAAAAATGTTTTTAGAGAGTAGAACGAGTATTTTAGCTGTAAAGAGCAGAGTGTCTTAAGTGAGGGGGCCATTTCAGAAAGCTAAAAAAGTGAGATCTAAAATGATTTGCTTAATTCTAGCAGGTAGCAATTTCTGCAAAACAAGATAAGGAAAATCTTTTAAAGTAGAAGACTAAAAGCAGTTTAAAATTTGAGAATTTCAGTTGGCATTGGAGCAATTAGAAATCAGATTATTGAAATGCAATTTGTTTATTCTTTTCTTCTTGTTTCCTCTCTGTAGAAACCTCAAGCCACACTTCAACAAAATGCAACGGAGTCTATTACATACTGCATCTCAGCTGGCACATGGGACATGTTTGGGTTTCCCTCGCACTAGTATCTTCCAGTGCTTAAAAGGACAATCAGTGTTATCTAATGTTGGATGCAAAGTGATTCTGGCACTGGACCCTCCTAAACGATGTCTTCATGCAGGTGCAGTACGCTTTGCTTCAAAGAAAAGTGCTTTTTCATCACAGCCAGCAGACACTCCTCACAAAGTACCAGAAGAGAGAAATCCTTTGACTTCGGCCAAGCTGAGCCCTGTAGAGTCAGATTCTTCAGATCCGGATCCGTTACAAGACAAATCAATTAGTCTTGTTCGGAGATTCAAAAAAACTTTTAAACAGTATGGAAAAGTCATGATTCCAGTGCATCTTCTGACTTCCACTGTATGGTTTGGATCCTTTTACTACGCAGCCATGAAGTAAGTTGATATTTTGTTGCAGTGCCCAATACTGCTGTTGAATTGAGACTGACTTTCACAGGTGAAAGGACAGATAAAGTATTATTACATATTAAAAAGTGCCTCTTTATGTAATAGGGAAATGAGGCTACATTTTTAACTGAAGCACAAGATTAATGTCGAAAGTATATAGGATTCGTGAGTGGCACGTACGTACTATTATTATGCAATTATTGCTCTGTACCAGATATGTTGCTAACATTTTAAGGAATGCTTATCTCTGCAAAATATGCATGGATGTAAACAGCATCAAAATTATTAGTAACCTCTCACAAGGTAAAGATAGGAATTTGGAATCCTGATTACGAGTTGCTAGGTGAGATCTGTATAGACCTGTTCTTTGTTTGCCTTTGGACTTGAGGGGTATTTCACCACTTCCTCCTCCCTTCATCCCCAGTCCTCCCTCATCATTGGACTTTCATGTCATTCACTTCGCTCTGATCTCCTCACAAGCCATGTGTGTCTTTTTCTTTTTTATTTCAGTTTCCTGTCTTTGTTGCCTTCCACTGAAAAAATTGCTACTGTAGGCCAGGCATTTGAATTGGAAATTAAATATTTGTGTGGCTAAAAAAAAAGAAATTATGTATTCTAATTTTAGGTTCTTTCAGCTACAGCATGTGCCAGATACTGTTCTGGAAAATGGCATTTATTAGAAAAAAAACCTGCTATATCAACTATGAGCTGCTAGTTCAGGTGAAAGAGGTTTTATCTGTCTGAAAATGGTTTGCTAAGTATGAGTAAATGTTTATCTTTGGATTGCTAGTGTTGTATATTTAATAATAGAAAGCATGAAACAACGACAGTTCGTGGCGGCAAGGATGGGGCTTTGACATCAGAATGCCTTACTGCACAAGTGTTTGTTTTAGTTACTCTAACCAGCTGGCATAATTGCCCTTTCTAGGAGCTTATAGATCCAAATGTCATTCTAAATTTAGCTCGTGTCAGAGGAATAAAGGTCTTGAGCTATAAAAATATTTTGCTTTGGATGAATTCAGGTTGATGCTTACATCCAGACATTTCAGATTGAGTGAAGATTACTTTTCTTGAAACACTTAAGTTAGCTGCTAAAATAGGTATTTGATGGATGAAAACAACTGAAATATTTAACTAGAAACCAATTATAACAAAGCTTTGGTTTGTCATGCCACAGAAGCAGCACCCTCTTGAAGTGGAAAAATAACTTTCAGAATGACTGCTCATGATATGAGACTAAATAATGGTGGTTTATTAAATAATATGATTAATGCTGTCTTTCAGATCTCCCTAGGTCTCCATTTTCTACTCTGGGGATAGGCCTTCAGATTGTAGGTTCTAGTAACTGTTAGTAAATTACTGCCTGTTATTGTTCCTGATGCTAAAGTGACTGTGTGCGCAGAACAATGGTTAAAATATTAGGTAGAAATGGATAATTATACTAATAATACAACATCTGTAAATATTGGAAAGTCAAGTCTTCTATAACTGCATGTAGCTTTCTACTGTAATGTAAAGACGGACTGTCTTTTTCTTTGGTGCTGATGTTAGCTTCCCTGGTTTTTAATAGAAAGAAATTGTGATAGGAGCTCCCTCCACCCATTTTGCCACCTTATATTGACAAGGTAGAACTACTGGGCACAAACCCCGTGAAGTCTTGTGCATACAACACGTTGCTTCCTTTTCTTTTGCTACATTCCATTTGTTATATATATTTAAAAGTGAATGGGGGACATGGAAGTCTCGATTCTGTGCTTCTGGGCATGCTGCAGATTAGTCTGAAATTTTAAAAAGAAAAAAAAAGTAATTTTAGGCAAAATAGAACATGAAGTTGAACCTGCACAACTGGAGCCTGAGTAGCTATCTTACCACCATTATATCTGCTTACCTCCAAACATCATAAACTGGGACACAGGTAAGTTAGTAGCTGCTCAGCCCAACAGGGATAATATAAATGGGTCACCTCTTGGTGGAATGTTGAAAAGAACATTAATTTGCTTATATGTACAGAAATATAAATCCTGTAAGTATGTTGCTTAAATGAAAAAATACTTTGCTATCAAACTACAACGTTTGTATAACAGAGTTAAAGAATGGAAATGGTACTGTAAATCACTGTTCAGGTTTCAAATTCCAATTCAGGTTGTCATTTTTTTTCTCTTATAGAGGAGTGAATGTCGTTCCATTCCTAGAGTTGATTGGCTTACCAGACAGCATAGTAAACATCCTGAAAAATTCCCAGAGTGGAAATGCACTAACTGCATATGCATTGTATAAAGTAAGTATAATCATAGTTTGTAAATAAGCTCTAAATCTTGCCTGGTGAACTAAACAGGGTTTATTTGTTTACAGCAGAAAAAATTAATGCTGTTTTCTCTCTTTTTATAGTTACACATACTTGAGCATTTGGTTTTGTAGTAAAAATAGTCACATGCAAGTTGATATGGGCTTTGTGTTCCTTTAAGGAGTCTATCTGTATTTCTAAAATAACTTCTTCATTTGCTGCAGAACTATTGTCTGCCTTCAGAGATTTAATTACAATTAAGTTATTCCTCTGAATCCCTGGCATAATTAACAGGGATAAAGAGGTGAAGTCTAAACACCTCATGATTCCCAGATAAAAGTACAGCTATTTTTATCCTAGAGGATTCACTAGTTTGTCTTCCCACCTTAGTTCTCCATCATTGTCATGTACTTCCATTGTCCATTTGAATCAATTCCTTACGTTCAGGTTTGGGTCTCTTTTTATTGCTTTATATGTGCACAATCCATGTTTGGGAAACTTGAAACATGTCAGACCATGCAAAAACAAAGTACTGTATTTGCTTTGAATGCCACTCATCTGTTTTGTTTCCAAAGGTGATGTGCTGCTTTTCTGTTATTTAAAGGGTTATTTTCCCAAACAAAATGTGAAAGCACTATTCTTGCCAATTGTTCCAGTGCCTAAAAGAGACCAATAAATAAATGTGGTTAAATATAAAGATTTTATTATAGCTGGCTGGCAGTGTTGGAAGACACTTTCAAGATGTGGAAGCACTAGAATAGGTTACAAAGGGAAGATTGTGCAGGCTTTATCTTTGAAGTTTTGAAACAACACATTAGTCTATCTAGCGTAACAAACCTGGTTTGTTGTATCTTGGATTAGCTGACCTCTTAACGTCTCTTTTCGCTCTGGTTTTCTATGTGTGGGTCCTAGTTTTGGACTGAAAGATGCCTATACTCTTGTGAATTTTAGAATTTAAAGCATATCTTGTCAGTATTTCCTCTTTGCTTGTATGGCTCAGTGTTCAAACTGCTGTGAATTGCATTCTGAGATGCCTAATGCTTGTCTCACAAGCTGCACAGGGAGGTTTGGGTTTTTTTTTTTTTTAAATGGAAGTCTAATGCCTGTGCTGGTTTTGTCAAAAGGGTACTTTAAGTAAAAGCTATGCATTTCTGGGGGATGTACTATAAATTGGTTTATTTTCTTATAAATAGAAGATCTTTTTAGTATCTGACACTGGCCAAAATAGATTCTCAATATTAAAAAGACCTTTTGCTAGATAATATTGGCCTGTTTTATTGATACGGTGTGTTCTTTGGTTTCTTTAAGATTGCAACTCCTGCCAGATACACTGTGACTTTGGGAGGAACATCCATCACTGTTAAATACCTACGTAAGAATGGCTACATGTCCACACCACCACCAGTAAAGGAATATCTACAAGATAGGATGGAGGAAACAAAGGATAAAATTACAGAGAAAATGGAGGAAACAAAGGATAAAATTACAGAGAAGATGGAGGAAACAAAGGATAAAATTACAGAGAAGATACAAGAAACCAAAGATAAAGTTTCATTTAAAAAAATAAAGGACTAGGAGACATACTTAATTTTTGGATATATCAAACTTAGCACTTTAACCCTTTGTGAGGCAGGATATATGAAGTGCACTTCTGAGCTTTTGTTTGTTTGTTTTGGTTTTTTTCCCCTTCTCTGGAGACTACAGTTGCTCTGTGCATTTAAAAATTCTCTATATTCACCAAGGTTGAAGTCCCTTGGGGGAGAGGTTGTGACAAAATTTCAATTTGCAGAAGGAAAAGCAAATCTCAGATTAGAATTTCATATGTCCAGTGGTAATAGTGTTAACAGTTCTCGTCCCTCTTTTTCCCCTCCCCCCAATGAAGATGGTTTCTTCCAAAAGCCACTACTTTATTCTTTCATTGTAGTGCACAGCCATTATTCCATTAGACTGAATCTTCCATTAAATGAGAATGAAGATTTCTTTACTGGGGAAGGCAACATATTTTGGTTTTCAGAGTATGTGGACCCAGGCATCTTTAATTGTGATCATCTCTCAACTTGGAGACAGACCATTATCACTGATACTGCACATGAAGGAATCAATGGATTAGCTACTCAGTTGGAATGAATTATAATGGCGACATTGACTTCAGCTGAGCTGTGATAGTTTACAGGTTGAGACTATGAATCTTTCTTGGACAGTATATCTTTTCAGAAATCTCAACTGAAAGCTACAGGAAGATGAGTTAATCACATTAGCCATACTGTCAAGTATACTTTGTTTCCTAAAGTTGATTTACTGTAGAAAGAAAGTTATTAAATGAAATTAATCAATAATTGTATATTAAAAACTAGGATTTTTTTATTATGTTAAAGTTTACAACACTGTTCTATTTCATTTTTGGAACAAAAAAAATTCTGAAAGAGAAGTTTACTTGAGGAACTGGTATACTAAGGGGCTTTTTAAATACATGCAAAGTTAGAGTTAAACCCCAAAATTCCTCCTCCTATTCAGGAATTCCTCAGACTTCAGTAGAACAATTTAACTAAAATAAGCATAGTTTTTGAGACAGTCATCACAGTCCACCAAACTTTTTTTCCCTAGATTTTCTTAGGTCAGGAAAATACTTATTCACAGCTGAAGGCTGAAATGCTGTCTCAGAGATGTCTTAAGAGACTAAAGCTAAAACTGTTCTATTTGACTAGGCAGGCAAACTTCTTTCATGGTTTTATTCGAATGTAGGCTAAATAGAAGGTGGTTTTTTTCCTGTTTCTATTACAGATCTCACTTTGTAGCAACTCTCTGCATGTCTGTCTTGTTTAACAAAGGTGGTTTTTTGCAGGGGGCTATGGTGAAGCAACAGAGTTGGACCCTGAGCGTTGTAATTGACTAGAGTAAAAGAATATAGCTGTGGTACTTCATCAGCTCTGCCCCACTGTTATGTTTTCAGTCAAGTCACTGAGGGCCTCTACATGTTTGAGTTGAACTTCATTACCTTAATTGTGCAGGATTGATTATATACTTCTCTGCCTCTGTCCACATGTCAAATAATAACTGCAATCTAATGCCTACCTTACAGCGATGTTGTGAGGAATAATCATTGTATATTCAGTGCCCTGAAGATGTAAAGTGTCATGTTTCTGATAAATACTATTAAAAAATAATTCTGTGAATTCTTATACTGCTGAGATGGGCACTGCTATAGGATTAGAGTTAATAGATGCTTTTCTTCTTTCTATTTGAGTGTACTTTTCCTTACTGTCCCCATGCACACATTCTTCTGATGTTGGCATTTGTCCCGGTTTTCCATTTTTGTGGGCAGTGTTGCCTGTGTCCTGCAGCACCGTGCAAAGCTCCAAAGCCTGAAGTCTGCCCCAGTAATACTGCATGGTCATCTTCTCAGTCTGGGGCCAGATGTGGGAACCTCTCAGTGGAGGTTAGGATTCATCTCCTCTTTGCACGCGGCAGGGGTTGCACAGGGGTACCTTGGTGTCCTAGGATGTGTCTGTAGCCCCCAGGCATGTTAGAACTCGTTCATTAGACAGACATAGCCTTTTGGCACCCCCACCCCCCATCCTCTTGCCCTTCCCCATGTCCAGCTGGCCTGTGACCACTCCAGCTCTTAAATGATCCATCACTACCAATGCTAAGGACAGAAGATCTCCTGTCTTATATGCAGTAGACTGTCCTATGTGACCATTTCTGCATCTACAGAAACAACTCCTAGTGTTTATTGGCAAGTGTCTCATCAATGTACTGTTTGGTCAATTTTGCAGCATGAGCAGCTTTGAGGAGTTTCTGGGACAGCCATATCCTCTACCCAGGATGTCAATTAACAAAGCATGCTATTAACTGGATCAAGCAGGAGGGGGAATCTTCAAGACTTTGAAAATCTGACCTGGAGAGCTTTTGTGACAATTAGTTGAATGCTTGGTTGTACTGGTGACCTTGTCTTAAGTCAGCCTCATCTGGAATCAATGCATTGTCTCATTAGTGTGGAGACCAGCTGGGGAGTTCCTGGGCCACCCAAGGGAATGAATGACATCAGTCCACTGGGTGCCCAGCAGGTGCCCAGCTATGCTGCAATTTTAACTATAGGATAAAGTTGACTTTCATCCTTGTATCTCACTTGCAACTTAATCCCCATAGCTCTTGCCACAATACTAGGGTGCAGTTCTCACTGTTGCCAGTAAGATGTAGTGTGGGTCCGTGTGGCTGGAAGTCAGCGTCCATCCCCTTTGGTGAGGTAGTGCACAGGCTGGGCGTTTGCATCAGGCTAGGGGGTGCCTGGGGACAACATAGGGTCTCCTCTTACTGGTGTCCAAGCCAACACAGTTGGCACACTCCCAGGTGGAGCAGTATCAGTGGGTGCCTTTAGCAGCACAGAAGGGACAGAGGAGCAGGTGCCATGGCCTGGGAAAGCAAACAGTTTGGCTGCAACACCTAGAGCTGGCATTGAGGCAGCCAACAAGTGACCTGAGCAAGGGGGTGCCCGGCAGAGCTCCCTGAACTCTCCCCTGCAGGGTGCTGAGTCCTTGGTGGTGTGAAAAGCCCAGTCAGAAGCCTAGGAGTGCCTTCTGTTGCCTGCAGGACTACCCAGTCAATGCTAGTAGGGTCTGCTTTCTTCCCCTGGCAGCTCAGCATTTTCATGGGAAAGGGCTGTCCCTTTACCGGCCCTCGAGAGCATGGTAAGGGATGCAAACGCCCTCGAGGGCATTTGCAAAACCTTCAGAGATCTGGTGAGACCAGGACTGAGGCGTTTGCCACCACACAGGTGCCAGAGAAATTGCTGCTTTGGTGACTTACCCACTTTTGCCTGCTCCCTGCCTCACACATAACACCACTGCAGGGCATCACATCATTGTCTGTCTCTGGTACAGGTACATGTGTGAAGGCATTGAGTGCCTGCCAGAGCAGAAGCTGGAAATGAAGTCACAGCCCAAGCAGAAGCTGAAGTAGAGCCCAAACAGGACCTGGAGCCAAAGTTACAGCCTGAGATGGGGCTAGAGCTGGAGTCACATCCCAGGATGCCAAAAGTAACAGCCTGAAAAGGAGCCAGAGCAGAAATAGTGGTCCAAGATGGGGCTGAAGATGCAGCCTGTGTAAGGGCCCAAGCCAATTGACCACTCAAGCAGGAGTTCAAGCCAAAGTCATGGCCCAAGGTGATGCCACAGCTGAAGTAGCAGCCTGAGCAAGAGTTACAGGCCAAGTCTGGCTGGAGGCAAATTAAGAGCCTGAGATGGGGCTGGAGGCAAAATAATGCCCAAATGAGGACCAGAGCCAAAGATATGACCCAATGAGAGACAGAAGCTGAAGTTTCAGCCCAAGCACTGTTCAGAGCCAAAGTCACAGCTGAGGATGGGGGCTAGAGCCCAAACAGCAACCTGAGGTTGGACCAGAGTCAAAATTGCTGCCCAAGATGGGGCAGGAGCTAAAGTCTCTTCCCAATATCTTCACAAAGTTAAGGCTTGATCTGGTGCCAGGTGCCAAAGCTGCAGCCTGTGTATGGGCCAGAGCCAAAGTTGCTGCCTGATATCGGGCAGGACCCAAAGTCACAGCCCAGGATAGCACCAAGCAGAAGTCAAGGGCCAAGCAGGAGCCGGAGTAGTCATGAGAGCCCGAGCAGAGGCTGGAGCTGAAGTCACAGCCCAATAGCAGGCTGGAGATGATGTTGTGGACATGGATGTGGCCAGTGCTGAAGTCATAACCCAATACTGGGCTGGAGCCTAAGTGGCGACCCAATATCAGGCCAGAGCAAAAGTCAAGATGGGGCTGGAGCCAAAGTAGCTGCTCAGATTAGGGCCAGAGCTGCAGTAGCCTCCTGAGCGGAGGCCTGCAGCCAAAGTAACAGCCCGATACCTGACTGCAGCCGAAGTAGCAGCCCAAGATGGCACCAGAGCTGAAGTTGCAGCCCCAGATGGGGGCTGGACCTGAAATCGCAACCTGAAATTGGGACAGCACTGAAGTGGAAGTCCAAGCAGGGCTGGAGGCAAAAGCAGGGCCCACGATTGGGCCAGAGCCAAAGTTGCAGCCCAAGGTCAGTCCAGAGCTGAAATCACTGCCCAAGATGGGGCTGGAGTCAAAATCACAGCCTGATATTAAGCTAGAGCTAAGTTGTGACCCGAGATAAGTGTGGAGCCCAAGTAGCAGCCTGAGGTGGGGCTGGAGTCAAAGTAATAGCCTGAACAGGGACCAGCGGCAAAGTCACAGCCCAAATAGTGGCCAGAGCTGCAATAGCCACCTGAGCATGGACCAGAGCCGAATTTGGGTTGGAGGCAAGTGGCAGCCCAAGATAGGGCAGAAGCTGAAGTCACAGCCCAATATAGGGCCAAAGCCAAATTTGCAGACTGAGATGAGGCTGGAGATGAAGTCATAGACCAAGATGGGTCTGTAGTACATGTTGCAATCACAGCAGGGATCAGCGCCAAAATTGTGGCTCCAAGATGGGGCTTGAGTAGATGTCATGATGTGAGCAGGGGCTGGAGCTGAAACGACGGTCCAAGATAGGTCCATAGCTGAAATTGCAAACTAATGTGAGACTGGAGGCAAAGTCACAGCTCAAGCAGGGGCCAGAGCCAACATCACAGCCCAATATGCAGCTGGAGCTGAAGCAGTGGCTTGAGTTGGGGGCCAGAGCCAAAATTGCAGCTGAAGATGGGGCCACAGTCAGAGTCACGACCAAAACAGGTGCTGGAGCAAAAAGCGCAGTTCAATATCAAGCCAGAGCAGCAGTTGCCACCTGAAATAGTACTGGAGCCAAAGTCATGGCCCAAGATGGGCTGGAGCGAAAGCCATGTCTGGAGATGGGGCCAGAGCCTAAGGCACTGCCCAAGATGGGGCAGGAGCTGA